TATATACAATACATACAATAAATTTAAGTGTAAAAAAAACAAATTAAAACTCAAAAAATGTTTTTTTTATGCCCGTCACACAAATGCAAACACTCGTCGGGTGCACCGGTGTGCAAAAATCTGAATTTGGCCCACAAATGTTGCATATCACCCCGAACATCAGAGTGAGAGCAACAATTCTAGAGCCATCAATAACTGCCAACACTAATTTGATGAATGGTAAGGGCTTTTAAATAGTCACCTATGGGCAATTTTGGGTACTCTCATTTTTTTGCCATTTCACAGGCGCATGCAATTTTACGGCTTGACATGTTTGGTATATATTTACCTGAAACAATCGTATCTATTATCAAAATATTGGGTATTCTGTTTCTGTGCACTAAAATTCATGTTAGTGTATTTTTTCCTTAAAATATTGGTTGATTAACATTGGGGGTTTTAGGCCTTTTACCTAGAAATTCAAATTTCATCACGTGTGCAAAATTTTTTAATAAATTGCTCCAGAAGGGAAGTGGTTAAAGTGGAAATATATATGTTGTATGTTACGGTTACATTAACTGCGAACATCAGCCTTGTGGCCGAACTGTGGTTTTGGTACTCATTCTTCTAATAGAATCATCTAATATGGGAGAAGAAAATACCGACCAGCACATGTATGTCAAGTCACATGTGAGATTGACCGTACTCTACAATGCAAAGGAGAATGATTTGTTCATACTGCTGACCATCATGTTGTCAGTATTGATGTACAGGGAAGGAAATATAAAGGCATATTTTATACTACGATTAATCGATTATTGAAAAAGTTGACAACTTTTTCTATAATCGATTATGTCGATTAGTTGTTGCAGCCCTACACTTATACCAGCAATAATCAAAATATTTTTTTGTGTAGTAAACCTGTGGCCAGAATATGCACATTAAAGTATTTAGATAATTTGAACAAGCAATAAAAGCAAGTTCTTCACCTTTGTAGCAATAAGCATCGAGGAGCAATTCATCTTAAACGTTGACAACAGAGGATTTGAAATCTTTAGTATTACTTTCTTAGTGTGCCAGCCATGTAATGTGAACACATTAAGTGTGTACTCGCATAGGGCACTGTTGAGTTGAACTATACCAGAGAACAGTGTCCCCACTCCCCCACAGGTCTGTGCTATAAGGAATCATTCCGAGGCTTACATCATCTCCTCTATCAAAAAACGAAAAAGGGCGCCTCCCTAGTGTAAAATCAAAATTTAATGATAAAATGCACAGCTCGTATTGTACCTTACAAAAAGTCGGTAGTAAAAGGCATATAGAGAGCGATAGGATATCGAATCTTCTAGCAGAGGAAGTCTGAAAAGGATGTGTAATATCAACGTCCACTGCCCCTGGATAGTCAAAGGTTTACGCGTTTCTGGGGCACGCCCCTTCATCAGAACCTCTGATGGTCCTGATGAAGTGAGCGTGCCCCAGAACCTCTGATGGTTCTGATGAAGGGGGCGTGCCCCAGAAACGTGTAAACCTTTGACTATCCAGGGGCAGTGGATGCTGATATTACACATCCTTTTTAGACTTCCTCTGCTAGAAGATTCGATATCCTATCGTTCTCTATATGCCTTTTAGTACCGACTTTTTGTAAGTACAATGCGAGCTGTGCATTTTATCATTAAATTTAGTTTTTACACTAGGGAGGCGCCCTTTTTCGTTTTTTGTTTCTCAGATTGTTGGTCTGTTTGACCTGAGGGAGTTGCCTCTTCAGTGTTTTCAATTTTCCGTTACAACTGGCCGTATCGCAGGTGGAGGCGCCGGTACTGTTTCTTGTTACATCTCCTCTATCAGTCAAACCACAGTGATCCCTCTTTCCTTGATCTGTGATCATTGAGATTTCAGTACTCAGGCAAGGTTCGGAGTGCTCACACTGCAGCAGGGCTGGACAAATACCAGGAGCCAGGTAGCCAATGCTCCTTAAAAATTACAGCTGGCACCTAACTTTTGAGGTTCTCTCTAGCTGTTAATGGAGCTGGCTCCTAATAAGAAAAAAATATCCTGAATTTGACAGACTGGCTCATGAATACATATTAATGTGTCCATCCCTGCACTACACAAATGAACCAGACTAAGAAGGTAAACTGTGCCAGGGCACAGTTAACATGCCTAGTGTAAGTTCACCCTAAGCTGTTAGAAACTGACTGAAACTGGTCTTCAGAGCCTTCGAAGTGGTCTTTATGAATATTTGAGAATGAATTACTTCACAGTACAATCAGCCAGAGAGGTCATGGGTGTCTTGTTTTGGGGGGGGGCGCCCGGTATTTTTAAAATTAGCGGTCATCAGCGGCTTGTGAGCCGCTGATGACAGCTATTAATTTAAAGGGGACAGTCTGCTGAACAGTTCTACTATAAGCTGATGGTCGCTAAAGCGACCATCAGCTTATAGTAGAACTGTAAATGCCAGGTCCGTACGACGTACTGAGCTGGCCAGCTGGAAGCACTTTTGTAGCTCCGTACGACGTACGTCCTTGGCAGCGAAAGGGTTAAAGAACAAAATAAAAATGAATCCTTGCAGTGGGGCTACCCTCGCACTGCAAGGGTGAACTGCTTGATTTGGTTTAGGGTCTAAAATATATACTCGCAAGATCCTTGGTCCCGTCTGGCCGCAGCCTCTCTCTACCTCCGCTCTGACGTAAGGACCTGAGAGTCATCACCTAAGGACACCGAGGGGCATTTCACCTCCAGAGTGGAGGGGGGAGAGGTGATCTGTCTCTGCCACAGGATCGAGGCTCAGGTTAGTACATCTTCTATATTATCGCCCCCAGAGAAACATTGGCAGTTAACCCTTGCAGTGCGGAGGTAGCCCCACTGCAAGGGTTAATTTGTATTCTGCCTAAATACTTTAATGTCTATAGTCTGGGCAGAGGAGCACTTAAAACATAGCTGGATTACACATATTTTATATGTGCCTTTGACCATCTTCAATGTCACAGCTCCACTATTATGTTATAGAGGTTCAATCTTAAACTTTGAAGAGGTACCCAAATGTTTCACTTCAATTCTATTCCATATAGCACAAATCTTTCTCTCTGTTCCATGTTTCTTTTCCCATGTAGTTTCATAGTTTTCTGCTATGCTCTTCTATCTTGTCTCCTGCTGTTCATGTGTTACCACAGGGAGCTGAGTGAGCAAATACAGAAGCAGCCGAATGATGGCCTGAACTAATGTTACAGACTTCTAACATTCTTTCCACAGCCAGCCACAGGAAGAAACCTGGGAGAAAGATCCATAGGTCAAATATTTCTCTACTGGTTAAGAAGGGAATACAGTATGTTCAAAGGATACAACAAGTCCTTACGAGGCTGGATGCACTTTTTTTTTTTATCAGATCTGTGAATTGTGTGGGAAAATCTCAAGGCCCCCCAACAGAGATATTCTGGTTCCCATGTGTTTCATGAACACTGGATGCTTAGTGTAAAAACATATGGAGATATTCTGTGTTTGCCAGTTAGATCTATTTAATGGGTTATTATGATTCAGGGGAAGGACTTTATCCTGGGATATTCTCAAGGTGTTTGGTACTGAACACTACGTTTTTTACTGTAGGGTTTGCTGTGTTACATGAAAGTGACACTAAACTCAGGAGTTAAATCTTATAAATGCATTCAGGTACTCCAACTATTAACACTAATGAGGGGAATTTTATCAAAACTGAAGCAAGCAAAATCTGGAGCAGTTGTCCATGGCAACCAATCAGCTTCTCTTTCATTTTCAAATCTTAACTGAACAAACTGAAGAGAGAAGCTGATTGGTTGCCCTGGGCAAATGCTTCAGATTTTGTCTGCTTAAGTTTTCATAAATACCCCCCAATGTATCTTATTTATGTATCACTGTAGATCCTCAAATCATCTCTGATATGGTGCTGACACCATCGTTCCTTCTGAAGGTTGGCTACTTTTGTTCTCCATGGTCCCTCTGTGTGTTGTAAAGTAGCCACCGCTCCAAACACTGCTGCAGCCAGGGTCTGCCTTTCATGCACAGGATTTAGCCGAATGGCTCATAAGACTAGGGACCATATGGGTCTATTCACAAAAGGGTGAAGAGTTTGGAGAAGGCAGGAGAAGTGAACAATGTAGGCCAACATAGCTGATATGGAGAAATTCTCCAATTCAGCTCACTTTCCATTTTAGCTACTTTTGTCCTAGATTGATCACTTCTCCCGCCTTCCCAAAACTCTTCACTCTTCTGTGAATAAACCTGTTAGTTTCTTTGCTGCTGTATAGTGCTTATTTGAATAAAGTCTCCTAGTGTGCTCCAATTTGTGTGTTTATCTAAATTCTGTTTTTGCAGGACAGTTAGATACAGCAAACCATTTCCCCTCAAACTAACATATCTTCATTTTTAGTACAGTTGACTAACTTTTTACTTTTTGCAGTTTGATTTTTCAGTATGTTTGGTGCACTTTTGTACAGGAAAAGGAAATGTCAAGTGCCAATGGACACACACTTTTAAACACCTTTTGATCTGCATTTTATATGCCTTTTATAGTTCAGTGACCCTGTGACAGCCCATGAAATGAATATAAGGGAAAATTAACCATGGGCAAATGCTTTCAAATAGTACTAAATAGTACTACTACTAAAAGCAATAACACTATGAAAATAATAGCAGGTTGTTTTCATTATACTTTTTTATATGCGTTTCCATTGTGTGTGTGTATCGGATACAAATTACGATAATGATGTCGGCATAGACGGGTGAACAAATGATTAATGATCTAGGTAAATGTTTTTAGAATAACCACTTTGTTTAAAATTCTGTATGATTCCACTACTGTATCCAGGCAGCAAATGGAACTCTGAAAGCCCCTGCAAGCATGTCTCCATTCATTGAAGTGAAAATCATTTGAAAGGATGGTTGGCAGGGTACTCTTATATCATTTATAAGTTCAATCTTCTGGATACGACGACGGGCAGGCAGTTTTTGCTAATCTGTTTGTGTTTAATTCACTTATCACTGTTTCTCAGTTGACAGAAGCAAAGCAGAAGAAAAGGAGCCTAGAGCAAAGTGTGGAAAAAGCAAAAGTTGGCCGCCAGGATACAGTAAGTAAAACACTTAGGTTTCTGTTCTAATCCTGTGGGGGAATTTAGGATGCAACTAAAGGCTCCTGTGTTATAACCTAAACAATTTCAAAATCCAGTTACTATGTGATTCACAAGGTAAACAACTTCCTTTACCTTCCTTAGCTGAGCCAAATCCTCCTTTATTTATGTCTCACACACTCCCCTTCCCAGACACTGTAGCTCACAGTGGGAGGGTTTCATTAGCACAGTCAGGTCTGACAATCTAGAAGTCAGTGGGCAGGGCTAGGTGTGGCCACCTGCATATTAACAAGCTACAGGTTTGTGCATCAGCAGTGGCAGTGCTAAAAGCCATGCACCCCGCAATATTCTTTCATCCAACTGAAGTGCAAGCAGGCAAACCTACAGGAGCAGTGCTACATCGTTGTCACCCCATCACAAGAAGCTGTATTAGATAAATGTCAATGGCAGGCTTAAAGTAGTATTAAACTCTCAATTTTGTTTCCCTATAATTAATCCAGATCAAACAAATATACATGGCCCAGCAAAGCATTTGCTCAAACACTTACAATCATGTTTTTGAGCAGCTGCTTCCAAGTCTCTCACCTCAACTTCCGTGAACTTCCTGTCCAGTACAAGATCTCAAGAGACAGTGCAGACTCCAGCAACTGTTCATCTACTAGCTTGGAGGAGGGGAAGAGATGGGGCTGAGGGGGAGGGTAGTAGCTTGATTTGCTGTGTTTGTGGATCAAAGTAGTCACCCGCACACCGAGGTCCAGCGTGTAAGAGAAATGTAAGTGCAGATGCATTTATAATTAAAGTACAAATCCAGCCAAAAATAACAAGATTAATATGAATAGGCAGTTGCTGCAATCTTTAGCTTCAACCTAGAGATTTCCCCTACAGTACTTTTTTTCTGCTGCAAGATGTCCTTAGTCTGAAGGCCAGCATCATTCAACCCACTTCTTCTGAGCCCAGGTTATCCTAGACTAGCCCCAGCCTGTGACTTGTCAGTGAAAGGTCATCTCCCTGTCACTCTGCTTTCTCCTTCTTAGCATGCTACAGGTCAGTCAGGAACGGTCTCCTTGAACTGCCTCTTTCTCTCACACTCACGCAGAGGCTAATACTAGGTCACGTTCAGGTACTTACACTGCTTGCATTTAAATAATATACATTTATTGATGTATTAATGATTAAAAAGCTGCATTCATTTGTGTCTTTTATATCTGCTTAGCGTTCAGCTTTAAGTGCTGCCGCTCATTTTTTTTTACTGGCAGGTCATAGTTCTATTTTAATATTAACTGGATGATCATAAAGTTAGATGTGCTTTTGATGTATTCATAAAAATGGTTCAGTGTAGTACAATTTGATGCAGTCACTAGTAGTAATTAGTGAGATTCAGGGCCAATTCACACCAGCGGCTGGTGTGCATTGCCTGACGCATTGTGGTGCTGACACATTATTATTATTTTTTTCGAACTTTACTGAAATGTCACAAGTGACATTTCATTAAGTTCTATGGGCACAGCGGAGTGGGAGATGGTTGTACTGCATCGCATCCCGCTGCGCTGGAAAAAAAGTACTGCATGCCCATGCGTTATGGAGGTATGAACCAAGCCCATCCTTGACATGGCAAATTGACTTGTCTTGCATTTGGTAAATTGCCTTGTCTTGCTGTGCTGGAAAAAACGGTCAGTGTAGCCGCAACATACATTTTGTGAATGTGCCCTCATCTGGAGAAATTAGAACCTTCACAGACAAATATTTATACGCCGTAATGACTTCTAGGAGGAAAGATCAAAGCTGGCAGAGGAGCTGGCACTGTTGAGAAAGAAGAGGGACCAGCTGAAAGCAGATCTGGAGAAATACAAAGAATGTGATCCGGATGTTATAGAAGAGATACGTAAGTTCTTTCTCTAACGTCTTATGTTAAGTGTTGGTTTTGTTCATATCACCACAAGGCACATGGCAAATCCCATGTAGTCTACCAACAGTTTGTTATTTGGGACCGTACAGTTCATCAGTTTAATTCTCATTTATTTATGAGGGCGTCCCATTCTTCCTGGTAGATTTAAGATACATTTGATATTCTCCTTTTTTGGTTACATTTAGAAGATCATAGCAATGCATATTAGGTAGGGATGCACCGATACTTTTCGAGTGCCAGTGCTTGGCATTTTCATGAGAACTACGAGGGTTGCAGCTGGGACCTAGCTCTGGTGCTCCATCACTGTCCTGAAATCATTAGTCGATATTGTTTTAGAAAAACTGTCACATGACTATAAACAAAAATGTATCAGTAATCGTACTTGGGCAAGTGTCTGTACTTGTACTTGCAAAAATGGTATCGGTGCATCCCTTTATTTATAAAAACAAAATCGTACATTAAAACAGAGATGTACAAATCTCAGGAGCTCCGTGTGCTCCTTACAAAGGACAGCTGCCTCCTTACTTTGTCATTTTTAACTAGTCTAGTCTTGGAGCTGGAAAAGTATCTGTACATGTACTTGTACAGAGTTCGGTGCATCCCTAATATTAGGCATACATATTTACGTTGCTTGTCGAATTATTTGCCTCTGTAGCTTAGCAGATAATTCTTGCATATCCACCCCAGCTGGAGGCCAGTTTATCCCATGCACTTGCCCTTCTATATTTCTAATGTTTTAATGCTGGTGGTATCTGGCATGTATATAAATAATTTGTTTTTAGAAGAGGATGAAATGTGATGGTTTACATTTCTATTAATGCATACATACTGTATATTATTAATAGTATGGTTAAAGAATTACATCTGTATTTATCTTGGGAGCACTTATAGAAACTTAAATAGAATTCTGTATGACTCTCAGTAATTACAGCGTTGGTGTGATAATCTGAACCATTCACAGGAACTGCTTGTATGTAGATGTATGTGTGCGTAGGTGATCAGTAGTCTGTACATGGCAATTTGCACCAGTGTCATTCAGTTTGCTTATAGCGTAGTAAAGCATGTTTGAAGCAGCACAATAACAGTAATATATTGTGCTATCATTTTCTGCAGTGCTTCATAAAAAAAACAGTATACAATACAAGGAGAAAGCCAAACATAGTGCACTGCGGACTAGGGCATTAAGTCTAATAAGGTACAGAGAGTAATATGAATGGTAATTAACATCTTAAACAGGGACATGACTAGCTATATATAAAATACAGATGATAGTAGAGGTTTTTTTTTTTCTTTGCACACGGTAGCTGTACATGGACCTACTGTGCAGCTGGTATACACTATATTGCCAAAAGTATTGGGACACCCCTCCAAATCACTGGATCCAGGTGTTCCAATCACCTTCATGGCCACAGGTATATAATATCAAGCACCTAGGCATGCAGATCGATCAACTGTTAGTGGTATTATAACAAAGTGGAAGCAACTGGGAACAACATCAACTCAGCCACGAAGTGGTAGGCCATGTAAAATGACAGAGCGGGGTCAGCGCATGCTGAAGCGCAGAAGTCACCAACTGTGTGCAGAGTCAATACCTACAGACCTCCAAACTTCATGTGACCTTCAGATTGGCACAACAACAGTGCGTAGAGAGCTTCATGGAATGGGTTTCCATGGCAGAGCAGCTGCATCCAAGCCTTATTGTGTGGGGTTGTTTTTCAGGGGTTGGGCTTGGTCCCTTTGTTCCAGTGAAGGAAAATCTTAAGGCATCAGCATACCAAGACATTTTGGACAATTTCATGCTCCCAACTTTGTGGGAACAGTTTGGGGATGGCCCCTTCCTGTTCCAACATGACTGCGCACCAGTGCACAAAGCAAGGTCCATGAAGACATGGATGAGCGAGTTTGGGGTGGAGGAACTTGACTGGCCTGATGATTGTCCAAAAAAAAATATATCTTCCCATCCAGTTTACCCGAAAAAATGATGCTTGGCCCAGTCTTCCCACCTACTAAACCTGTCTGTTGGTCAGAGGAGCTACCCATCACATTAAAGAACTAATAGAGAAATAGGAGGGGCTAAAATAAACTTTTAACAGGAATATTCCAGATTTGTATATACCTTTTTTAGCTGTATCTCAGTATCTGCTAATAATTTTGACAAGTTCAGCTTTCACTGAAGTTAACATATTAATATCAATTAAAGCAAAAGTAGGTCACTTTGTGACAAGAGAGTGTGGAGCCAGCTTCCCAGGCAATCAGGCAGCCGGGCAGCGTGTAATGACTCGCTGCCTGGCTTCCTGATTGGTTGGGAAGCTGGCCAATCAGGAAGCCGGGTGGCCATTCATTACCCACCTCCACCTGGTGACGAGGGAGCATGGAGCCGGCTTCCTGGCTAATCAGGAAGCCGGGCAGCGAGTCATTACACGCCACCCAGCTTCCCTAATGGGACTTCCAGTATCGGCGAGTACCGGAAAAAAAAATATCAGTACTCCTCGATACCTAACATACAGTATCGGTGCATTCCCTAGTAATTATTCTAAGTTCTGGTTCCATGTATGATATTCCAATGAATTGAGAGAACATGCAATTCTCAATGGAACTGCCCAGAAGTATACCCTTTTCTTTTAGGCATTAGACACATTTTTCATGGTAGAGTGAAATATATAGTCCTAGGACTTTAATAGGCTTTTTAAAGTGCATTGCTTATAAAATTACCATTGCACATCATAATAAAATGATATCACTGAACTGCACAGAGAAGTAATCCCATAATCTCATGATTATCTCATCATGGGAGGGAATGAAAGATAGTAGAATTCCCATCTTAATGCTGGCATATAATTGAGAAAGCAAGCCTCTGCTCCAAGGCCAAATGTCATCAAATCTTTTCTCAGCTGATTTATGACATGCCCACACGCTTAGCAGATTAGAAATGTACTTTTGTTTGTGCACATTAAGCCTGGGCAAGCTGTCAACTCCTATTACTTACTGAAGTGAAAATCAGCAAAATGTACAATATATCATTAGAGATTGTTGTTTGGATTGTCTAATAATGGATTTGCCACAGCCTCATGCATTGTAGTTCACAAACATTATGGATGCACAGTAGCAAAATAGTACTAAATCTAAACTCCAGACAAAACATTTTTGTCTAGATTTGGATTGAGTATGGAAGGGTTAGAATCTCTGCAAGGTTTTTTTTGTTGCTCGGCCCCCATTGGAAAAAATTTACCCTCACTACTTGTCCTGGTGACCAACTAAAATGTTACAATTGTATTACTATTTACAATAGTTATTAACTATCGTATTTTTTTATTTTTCAAAGTAATTTTCATAAACATTTTTATGGCTGGGAATGCACTATATTTGTAGAATGTAATGGAAAGTGTGGGTGCTATGTAACAGGAGTTGCAAAGGTTCACACTTGATAGGCTTGTTTGTAGTTTTCTCAGTCCAAGGTAGTATTGGATTTTAGGGCATGTCCATCAGATATGGAGAAATGAACAACCTGTGTACATGCCCTACAACACACAGGAGATTTGCTTTTCCATTGAAATCTATATGGAAAACGCTCTGATCAGTGCAAAAAAATAAATCAGTGAGCATTTTGGGTGGCAGGCAGTTCACATTCCACGGAGCCGCGCGATTGCATGAATGGTCCCCGTAGGAATGTATGGTATTGTTCATGTCGGCAGTTCAGCGCCGACAAATCCGCGCAACCAAACCGCCCTGGTGTGAACGGGGGCCTAAATGCTGTTGTTTGATTGTTTTGTGTTATAGTGTCTGACTCAATGAGGGGAATTTATAAAAACTGGAGCAGACAAAATCTGGAGCAGCTGTGCTTGGTAACCAATCAGCATCCACCTTTCATTTTCAAAGCTTAACTGAAGAGTGAAGTTGATTGGTTGCCATGGACAACTGCTCCAGATTTTGCCTGCTCCAGTTTTGATAAATTCCTCCCAATGTATACTTGGGTGCTAAATAAATGTTTTAAATTCTCCAGGTCAGACCAACAAGATGGCCAAAGATGCTGCTAATCGCTGGACTGGTAAGTATTTGCACCCTACCACTAAGGAGAACCCTGCAGGTAGACACTCTAGACAAATATCAAATATATTTATGAAGAGGATATACATTTTAAAATGAGAACATTATATGCATGATAGGGGCACATATGTTACACTTGTTCTAAATGAAGCAGCGGTTTAGAGAAATTGGTGTGGTGGAAATATCATTTTCTTCAGTATTACTATTTAGAAATCTAGATACAAGAGTGATAAAGGTGTTTTGGGCAATATACCGTGCATCATTTAAAGGTTTTTTATTTGTAACATCTTGGGCCAAATTTTTCAACCATGTACTTAGCTTAGCTGACCTTACCACATAGCTTTCAAACAACCACATCCTGTATTTCAGAAAATTACTGAACTTGCATACTTGCATGTCACAAAATAATATCTGTTCTGTGAAAGAGGCTTTGAGATTTGCTCACCCTTTAGCTCTTTCAGTTTTGGCCAATACAGATTTCCTTGAAATGCTGCAAAAATATGTCAAGTTTATTCCTTATCAGACAAATTTAAGGATTTGCTGGCAAATGAACAGGCTTTCCCATGTTAATTACATACTTTTTTTTTTTACACACAGAGAATAGTGGTTTTGTACCTATTTTTTTTTATTATGGTTAAGTCTAAATACAGTTTTTAAAAATACATTTTCAAGTCAGATAAATATGATTATGCTCTCTAGCAGATACTATATTTGATTTAGCAGCTGCTGATGGCTCAGAGACTGTCTGGTTCTAAGTTGCTCAAGTCCTTGACTTATGAGCTTAACTCTGAGGAGGAGCAGTCCTCTGCTATTACTAAATGAAATGGGACTATTTTGGCTTTTATTGATACACTGCGCACCTCTCTAAAGCTGGAAGATCAACCTGTTGCTTTTACCAGTACAGTTTCTGGTCTTGGGTTGTTTAAAACTCCTGATGCTGCAAAAGGCTTTTTCTTTGCACCCACTTTTCCAACTTTTCATCTATAGAAGTGCTTGTTAGCATTGTATCTCTTTTGTGAGGATTTTGTTTAGAAATGGTCTGTTTATATGCATCTGGCTGTGTCTCGCCCTAACAAGGCTCTTCTTCACTTTTCGGTGAGTGATGCACTTGTCTATAAGGTTCCAACCGATAAACAGTTGGAAGCCCTTTCCAGGGCTCTGTTTTTGCTGGAAGCCTCTTCTCTCGCATGTGCCTCATGTTGGGCATAGTCTAGGGCACTTTGACTAAAAAGCTGGATTGTGGAACCTTTGTAAAAGAAGTGTTTGATCTGCATGGCCTTCAAAGGAGAGTTTCTCTTCAGAAAAACTCTTTATGACATTATCAAGGATGCTACTGGTGGCAACAGCACCCATCTTCCTCTGTGGAAGAAGCCCAAGGAGCAGACTGCTAAGTCATCTCCCACTCTGACTGTCAAGAAACGTCCCTTACATTAATCCACTCCCGCTACTATAATGTCAAGACCCCCCCAAGCTTGATGCCCAGTCCACCTGCAAAGCCTGGCATTCCAAGTCTGCGCAATCCTCATTCAAGCCTTCCTCCACATGGAGGTGCGCCCCCACTCTCCAGAGTTCGGGGATGTCTTTTAACCTTTGCAGATTCTTGGACAGCTAGGCCTATAAACTTGAAACAGATGATTACTGATCTCTCTCCATTCTTCTGGATCAAGGTGTCATTGCCCTAGTTCCTGTGGCAAAACGGTTGCAGAGGTTTTACATCTACCTGTTTACTGCTCCCAACCAAAAAGGGTCATTCTCTCCATCTTGAATCTCAACGTTCTAAATGTTTACATTCCCTGAAAATTCGTAATGATATTCACAAGTTCTGTCATTGCCTCCCTCCACCAGGGTAACTTCCGGGATTCTGTGGACATCAATGATGCTTACGTGCATAAACCCATCTCTCCAGCACATCAGCGATTTCTAAACTATTATGTGGGGCCCCTACAGTGCCAGTTCATGTCCCTGTCCGTAGGGCCCCACCTCAGCGTTGGACCACCCTATTGGAGGGTCATCTGATGCGGATTCCATCAGACAATGCCATGGCAGTGGTGTACATCAACTATCGGGTAGAAACCAGAAGTCAAGAGAGGTAGAGTGGATATTGTCCTTGGGCAGAGCTTCAAGTTCCACACTTATCAGCTTTGTACATACCAGATATAGGCAATTGGCAGGCAGATTCCAGCAGCACCTAGACCTGGGAGAGTCGTCCCTGCACAGTATTTAAGACCTGTGTCGCAAGTGGGGGATGCTGGATGTGGACCTCCTGGCCTCCACATTCAACAACTCACTGGACAGGGTTGTATTAGGTACAAAAATCCACTGGTGGAAGCAATAGGCTTTCTGGTTGCTCATTGGGATCAGTACACCCTAATCTATGTATTCACTGCACTGAAACTTTTGTCTCATTTGCTTCCCAGGATAAAAATGGAAGGCATTCCATTGATCCTCAGCAACCTGGTAGTACGTCTGGCAGATACTCATGGGCACTGCCAGAGCATCCGGTTTTTCTGTCCCAAGGACGGATTTACCATCCTGCTTTTTAGTCAATAACTTTATTGGCATGGTTGTTGAAGCCAAGGTTCTAAGAGACAGGGACATCTCTGAGTGTTTTCTACGATATTAAAGCTATGAAGTCTACGTCCTGCAAGGGGTTGTGGAAGGCACACTTTACTTGGAGTGAGTCTTGGTGCTCCAGTTGTCTGTGGAATGCATCCTTTGCTTCCTTCAGCCAGATTTTCACTGGAGCCATTTTTTAAAATGTATTTTATTTTTTATCCGATTAATCGAACTTAATGATCGGCTAACTAATCGACTTTGAAAATAATCGTTAGGTGCAGCTCTAATTTGAACTAAAATTTTTCTCTCAGCACTTTCAAAGGTCAGGGATCCGCCTTTTCCATTGGGCTCTCACTCTTTGATTAAGGCCTTTGTCCAGGGTGCTTTTTTCTCTATGCTTCAGAAACGCCATTTGAACCCATTAGATACATTCCTTGTTCTACTCTCACCCCCAAGGTGATTTTCCTTGTAGCCCTCCAAGTGTCTGAAGTGATGGCTTTATCTTGCAAAAAAGACCTATTTGGCCTTGCATAGAGATAGGGTGGTATTGAGGCCCAATAATTACTACTTGCCTACCTTTCATTTCAACCCGGACATTGTTCGTCCATCCCTCTGTTTGGTTCTGGTTAAACAAAAGGACATTTCTCTTCGTTGTCTGAATGTGGTTCAGGTTGTTGCGATTCTGTGTCTCAGCCACTGCTTCTTTCAGAAAGGCTGGTTCCCATTTTTGTCACCCCAGATAGACCCCAGAAGGTTGCCCAAACTAATCATTCCACCATCTCTAGGTGGCTCAGGCACACCATCATTCAAGCTTATGGTCTCATGGATCAGGTCCCACCCTTTCCTGTCAAGGCGTACTCTGCTACATCTGTGAACACTTCTTTGGGCTTTTTGGTATCAAGCAACTGTTTCCCAGATTTGCAGGGTTGCCACCTGGTCTTCTGTTCACATGTACTTTGAGTTCTACTCGGTAGATGTCTTTCCTTCTTTAGGGCATAAAGTTCTTCAGGCAGCTCTTCAAGCTGCAGGCAGTTTCCAGTTCTCTGTTATTTTCTTGGCCCTTTTAAGCAATTGCCTGCTGTGTTGCCCACCCCTCTGGTAAGTTGCTTTTGGACATCCCAAAGGTTAAAGACTACCTCTGTCCCTTAATGGATGTGAAAGAAAATATAGGATATTTGTACTGGCAAACAAAAGAATAAACTCTAGCCAGCCCTGGATAACCCCTCCCTCTACCAACATGCCGTAGTTTTTTTGCAAAGCAGTACCAAGATTGTTATAATTACACAGGGGTTGCACCTGTATCCCTCAATGGACTTCAAGAAAAGGATTGTACCCCCCTGGGGTATAAAAGTATATATTACCCATTTCTGTTATATGGGATCTTTTAGACTAGGTTCCATAGTATGCACTATGCACTCCCAGAGGTCTACTGGAATATATTTGCTCACACGTACACAGACCCTTATCCAAATAAAGAAAAAAGCAGCTGACACTCATCTCACTTAAGCGAATATATAGTAACAATACTGTGCAACATAATGTCAAATTTTATATATATATATGTATACACTATAGATCTAGATATCAAAGAAAGCGTCCAGGTGATTCCTAATTTAAAACAAGCACACAGTCTTATATTTAAGTGTGTCCGCAAAAAACACATATGAATTCCAATGTGTTAAGACTCTACACCTGCATGTCTCTTAGGCCCCATTCACACTGAGCGACATGAAAATCGCGCGACTTTGAGCGATATTGCGCGACGAGCGATATTGAGCGACTTCTTCCTATTGGGCTGTATGCAATCAGGAGCAATATCGCTCAAAATCGCTCGAAAAAAGGGTCATGTAGGAGCGACAAGCTACCAGCGACGAGCTACAAGCGATATTGAGCGACGAGATGTGAACAGCTCCATTGAAATGTATTGGTGAAGCTACATAGAGCGATATCGCGTGGAAATATGAGCGATATCGCGTGGAAATATGAGCGATATCGCTGCAAAAATCGCGCGATAAATCGCTAAATGTGAACGGGGCCTTAGGGAGTCAAAGCACATTGGGTATTCATATCTGTTTAAAGTACTATCATATCTGTAATATCTATCGGTATATCTGTTAAAGTACTATCACTTAATATATTGTTGGGCATTGCTTTTTATATATGTATTATAGGAATTGTCATTGCGTAGCTTTTTTTAAACTTGTTTGGGTGTGTTGACACTTGTTTATTCAGCTCCTAATATATTTGACATTGTGAATATTATATTAGCACTATTAAAAAAATTAGTTATTGGTAATAAAATCTGATCACTCACACACACTCACACTCACACTCACACTCACACACACATATAGATATATAGATATACTCAGCTTAGCACTGCCCTATGCTCTAGACTAGAGGTTCTCAACTTGTGTGACCTCGGGGCCCACATTTGTCCTCGATCATTAAGTCAAGACCCAAGGCGCACTGCAATGGAACGTACGGCATTGCGGTACCGTGCGTTCCAGTGCAGGTGATCGAACTGTGGGTGTGAGGTGCATTTGGGGTGCCATTCAAATGAATGGCAATGCAACCCACCTCCCCCACCAGAACGCACAGTAGGTACAGTGCATTAATCACATGGGACTGTGCGATTAACGCACTGTAATGGTGTGAACGGGCCCTCAAAAACACTGACAGACACACACACAACCATAGACATATTTTTTACTCTTTTTTTTTTTTAAAGATCCGCCCATTCTCAACCTGCGGTCCATTGAGAGCTGCTGTGCTGTGATGGAGCTCCATCCATATGTGTATTGCTTGTATAGCTCCCATGCACACCCATAGAGGTGCCGGGAGCCGTAATGTGATGTAACTCCAGGGCATGCAAGGTAGCTGTAAGCAATGCACATATAGATGGAGCTTCCTCGCGGCCATAGCCCCAGCCCACCTCACATGGACACTCGGCACTGGGCAGCATATTTTGAATGGCTGCTTGGTGCGAGAGCTGACAGTGCTGTGCTAGGGGGTGGCTAAGGACTAACCTAGAAAAGTGAAAGGCACGTGGCGACCCACAGGACACAAGGTCGCGACCCACCAGTTGAGAACCAAGGCTCTAGACCATATGGACTATTTGATGTAGCCTCTGTTTAGTAACTGCACAAACCTGGCACATGACATGCCCTGGCTTTTTGTAATGCTGGATTAATGCTGCCTGCCATTACCACACAGTGCTCAAATTTGTCTTTTACACCACTCCACATCCGTTTAAAATGTGCCATGAGTATATTGCACCACTCAGTTTAGTACACTGAAATATTTTCGCTCTCTATCATGAATCTGACCTAATTGTTCTGTGTTATTTGTTCTTCCTGTACAGACAACATATTTTCTGTGAAGTCCTGGGCCAAGAAAAAGTTTGGCTTTGAAGAAAGCAAGATTGATAAAACATTTGGCATACCTGAAGAATTTGATTATATTGACTGAATTAATAATGAATCATACAGCTTTTTGTTTATATCATTAGTAGTAATGTACCCAGTGAGTGAGTATGCCTAACCTCACTGAATGTGATGTACATTAAAGGACACCTGTGAAAACCTTGGGCATTTCAAACTGACCCTATGGGGCAAAATGGTTAATCAGAGGCAGGTCAAAACAATCAGTAGAAGCGGATATGTAGGCAGTCGAAGTTCTATGCACTGTTTCTGTAAAGGTTGAGCTTAATGCTGACTCCTCCTGTTCCTTACTGTTAGTTAGTAAAGCTGGCCATACACCAGTACAATTTCTTTTTAAAGAATTTATTTTGGAATGTCTGTTTTGATTTTCTAATCGTTTATAGGGTTAAATCGATGATTGTCTTCATGAAAAAAATCAAAGGAGCAGGATGAAAAAAAATTCCCTGAACCAAATTCTAATAGTGAATGGGGTTTTTGTTTGAGGAAACAATCTAATGTTAAAACCAAATGAAAATTCAGACAACATTCGTCAATCAAATGTTCTGACAAGATTTTTCCTAAGAACGTTTGTACAAAGATCTACCAGTGTATGGCCAGCTTTAGGCTGTCATTGGGGCATCCATTGGGAGACTAAAGAGTCAGAAGCAGGGCCAAGTTTGACTTTTCAAGGGAAAAAAAATTGAGCTCTGCCTAAAAATTCTGTTGCCTTTATCTCTGGATCTACTGATCGTTTTAAAATGCAGTTTTTAAAAGACTGTAACCTTTTCTAATGTATGTTTTCATCATAAATGTATTTGAATTGCAATAGGTTACTTTAGGTGTATTTATATACAGTACTTGTGTGTATATACTTGTGTTCATTTGTGTTTGTATATGTGAAATAAGTTAATAAAATGCAATTTTTTTTCACATTTAGCAGTTTTGTAACTTATAAGACTAACTGCTTACAATGTATTACTGTATATACGTTAAATCCTTTTTTTACCTAACCTAAAGCTGTTTCATTGATGGCAAATATTTCACTGACAGAATTCTGTGGAGGGTTGCCAAGTTCTAGTGCAGATTGTTTTCTTAATTGCTGGTGAACTTTCTGGAAGCTGTTGCTTTATTGCTTTACAAATGTTGGCTGGTTTGTGTTCTATATATATTAAATGCACAGCTGAATAAGTTATTGTCTGTTCTCAGTGTTGTAATTATTTGAAAGGAGGCTTCCTTGGTTGTTAAATAGTTTGGAAGAATAATAAAAACTGGAGTAAGAGCGGAGCTGTTGCCCATAGCAGCAAGATTCCTTGTTAACTGAAAGTTGCCTGATTGGTTGCTACGAGCAACACTCACCGTTATAACCATTAATCAGGCCCACAGTCTTATAGTGTGATTTCTGAGCAGGAAGTTAGCCATGTGTAGAATGTGTAAAATCTCCTCTCCCATAATGTTTTATCTTATCTTCAGTTCTGGTTACTGGTTGTAATCTGTTCACACAGATGGATATATATTCTGTGTGTTTATATTCTATATAATATACATATTTAAAATAAAAATAAGCTTTTGTTGCATAGATTCACAGATATATATAAAACCATCCTGTGGTGTCACTAGGTTTTCAAAACCTGTCTGATTGGTCTTTCTGGACACAAGTCAGCCTACATACATCTGCTGATGCCATGGACATGAGATCATCATCCAGCTTAAATTTACCAGTGTTGTACCAGTTTAAATAAACAATAAAAGCAAAACAAAACACCAGCCTATCTAAAAGTATTTAGGGAAACGACTACACTTACATATACCAACATGCCTTTTTTGTTTCCATATATTGCCACATTCCCACTGGATCTGTTCTGCCTGTTCCTTGCTCCTGCACTGCCATTTAAAAAAAAAAGTCATTGGTGACTGGCTTATTCTTCGTGGTTTCTTGTGCCGGCCCAGTCTGTGTTAGAGTAGGAGGCAAAAAAAGCACCTTTTTGAATAACCTGCTGCAATCTCGTATACTGTTAATGTACACCTCCTGGTCCATGTGACACTAGATGGTAGATGTAAGAATTGAAGCGACACACCAATTGAAATAGTCCAGGTACAACGTTAATCCATTAGGGCCAGGGGACATTTACTGTAAGTATAGTAGTCAACACCTTTCCGTATGGCTGTCATACCAGCTACTGATAAGTCTGAAGTATTCCCATTACAACACAATACAGCAGGCAAGCTGCAGGGAATGTAGTCTACAAACATGATTTCTCTCATAAAGCCCAGATAAAGGGGGTGTTGGACTCCCCAAACACATTAGATACGTTACTCAAATGTCCCTTGACCCTAATTGAATAAAGTTGTATCTGGAAAATTTTAACTGGTGTGGTGCTTCAGTTTTTACATCTACTGTGTTCACTATCAAGCAAAGGATACTGTGGAGATCCTTTGGAATGTGGAAGCTGCCTAGCCATTAGCCAGATCATACATATTCACATCACTTAACTACGTTATCTTTCCACACTTCGAAATAATATGACATTAGGCGTCTTCTAAGTAAAAAGCGAAAAATGGCTTTGCATATCTTTCGCGATTGTGCAGTGTATACATAAAATTTCCATGGAAGGCACTGGTGATGTAGCCGTTTTAGGGGGCATCTTTGATGCCCTGGCTTTGTCACCAGTGCCTCTTAAGACCAGGAAGAGTCAAATGTTAAGGGGGAAAGTTCTACTTTAACAGACGTAAGAGTGTTCCCAATCATTATGGTTTAGGCCAAACCACTCCCAGTACTCTGTGTGCTTTTGAGGAAATGTATTATTTTTTTAGACTGAACAGTAGTGAACTGAAATAGTCTATTGTTTACATGTTATCTATAGAAGGCTTGAATGATCATAATTACCCTGTTTTGCCTGTTCTGTGAGCCTTTGTTTCTCAGACACTTCGTCACAGGCACTGAGCTATGTAATAGTCTCAGAGAGACTGAAGCTGAATGGGATTTGGGGAATTGTGCAGACTTGCTAGAATAGCTTCTAGTATTCCTAATGGAACTTTGTTTTTACTTCTGGTATAAAAATGACTGTACATCTTGCCTGTCACAAAGTTGGTAGGACCAGTTAATAAACCCTTGGGATAGTGAGGCAAAAATAATCATAGCTTTGGCAGGGAAGGGGAAGACAATAACATTAGAAAAAGGAAGGCAAAAGCACAGGGCTGTGGTTTAAACTATTAATTATGTTTTATGTTATATATTATATTTCTGTTATCTATATGTATTTGTTGTCTGTGTAAATTCTGTGTTGAACAGGCCTTATATTTTTAGTACGGTTATATAATATGTTTTTGGACGTTTAATGATTAAAACAACCTTTCATATACAATTTGTAAATTTTGTAACAAAATTGTAAAACTATTTGTAAATGTTTTTTCAACCTTGTTTTTTTCTTTTTTACACAAGCTTTTAGTAGTTGGTATTCCTGCTGAACTATGACTGTAAGAAAAAGCATCTGTAGGACAAGCAACCTGCCCTAGACTGAGTTTAATGTCAAAGGCCGTAAACTGGTATTTATGAAGTTTAAAAGCCCACAGATACTAAAAAAATAAAATAAAAAAAAGGCTTTTATTTCAACAACAGTGACAAAATGTAGTATTCTTACAGGTTTTTTTGGTCAATCCCACACAGACATTACTGCTTAGTTAATAAGTAATACTGTAGATATAGTTTTGTGATTGGTTCCCTTATATATGCCACATCCCTGTATTAGTTTCTGGTGATAGCAGGAGTACATATGGGCAGTATATATATATTAGGAGGTTCATACTTATGTATTGACAAACCTTAGACAGTGCTCCTGTCAATTATACTCTCAGTATCCCATGTAAGTAAAACTCAGTATCCTCATGCCTCCTAAGCAGTGCAAGTTTATCTTCATCTATATCTCTTTTGTAAGGGACACTGGTACTAGGGTTGAGCACGTTATATATAATTGACAAGGAACACAAGGTACTGTTTATACGAGATATGACAACTGCTTGACAATATGACGAAAAGCTTATTTTTCTCCTCTGCATCCTCTTCCCAGTCCCCTACAACACTACAGCCTTCTACATATTACATGAAAAAAGAACCACAACAATGCTTTACTGTAACTTTAGAAGCTGAGAGAGAAGCTATACAGTGGGCAGGTTGCTGGCTACATATACCAGTAAAATGCCTGCTGATTTTCTCCTATCTTTCTCAGCTTGGACACTCATTCTTTCAATGGCTCACATCTTCAATTTAATGGTGCAAATATCTCTAATATAATATCTAGGGTTAAAAAGGACACTCATTTTACTAGATCTTGCAGTGTTAAAAATTCTCACCTGGTGTTTCATAGGCAGAAAGCATTCCGTTCTACCTGTTAATAGGTTCTGGCTCCATTGAATTACACCCTTCAGATGATCAACTACCTTTTATGAGCTATGCAAAGCAGTCAACAACATTATTATCCACCAACAATACAAAAGTGTTCAGTATGCATCTCTTTGAACCCAAGTAGTGTCACCGCTAAAGTTCTTCATAACAATGACTGGATTTCTGAGTGAGAACAGCAGCATGAAAAGAGTAATCCCCCCCCTCATCTTTATATTAGACCATACTTTGATATTGATGTAGGCAAGCAAGGAAGAAGACCAGCATTGGCGCTTGCTGCCAATAACCCAAATAGTGGGATGTCAGACAATGAGTAGTTAAGAGGCACAAGGAGGGTCAACACTTCCAAAATGTCATGGAGGAGGAGATTTGGCTAATTCTGCAGTTTAGGGGTAACACCCTTTTTGACTGGCATGCCAGCAATATCCATGACCGTAATGATTATGATCTTGACCAAGGATTCCAGTAGGGTTAATGGATCAAGCAACTGTGCTTGTTAGGTTGGTAAGCAGGAAAAGCTGCCTTATGGTTGGTATCACTAATACCTCACCTTTCTTCATGCAGTTTGTGTATGCAAACCCTGACAGTTATTCCTATTTGTTCTTTGTTTTTGGTCTGTTGAATATACAGTTAAAAACATTTTGTTATACTGGGCAGCGTGGGTTTCCTTTGGGTACCTGGGTTTTTTCCCCACACTCCAAAGACGGGTAATTGGCTTCTGTCTAAATCAACCCTCTATATGTGCATGTTAGATGAGGACCTTAGATGGTAAGCTTCTTGAGGGAAGTGACTGACGTGTATGTGCAC